TGATCCATCCATCGAGTGTGTACAAGTCATCTACCGTTTGTTATTCGTCTATGCCATGAGGTGCATGACGTCCAATTTACAACCACCTTTTTTCGTCTCAACTACAAACCACATGCCTGGATGGCTTTCTAGCATTAAGTTAATTAAACAGCATCACCACATTTTAAACGAAGATTACTGTGTTGATGGCCTGTAAGATCAAATGGAATGGCTGCATTGCTTTTAGATACCTGCTTGTTAAAGAACCACTTACGGAGAGCAAAGTTTGCAGTCAGTGGGATTCACAATGTCCTGTGGATACGCGCTTTTAGTAGAAAATCACAGACTTTGGCGCATTTGCCATCTTCGGACAGATGGTAGGCAGTGTCGCCAGTCTCTTCGCTCACTACGTTTGTATCAGCTTCCAGAAGAAAGGGTAGCTAAAGCGATGAGTATTTAGGGCGACGACGGATGGAATAATCGAAAAATCGAGGTGGTTGCTGTGCAGTTTGCACGATGCTAGGACATCCTGACGATTGGTAGAGCAGTGTGTGCTCCTTTTAGTGATTATCAGCGTCAAGTCAGTTTGACGGCTTTCCAAGTAGATGGGTGAAGTAGATCTCATTATCTGTAGCGACTTACACAGTTAAGTTAATTTAAGCCTTCCGCTTCATCATTCACCTTGGTATTCAGCACCAAGAGATCTAGCCGTGTGGATCCAAAGCAAAAACCTGTTGTGACAGAAATAATAAGGATGCCAGTCTATCTCGACTTCTTCCTCCCCCTAACTGTCGGATGTTGACATATTGCGCTTAGCGCAGTGGTTTTGAAGCCCGAATAGAAATTTATTCGTTTGCTTGAAGCAAACAAAAATATATTGCTGGGTGGTCGGCCCTGTTATCGCTTTATTTGCCAGTTCTTTGTGAAACAACATTGTTTGCTAAAGCTGAATTTCTATCATGTTACCAAATGGTAACATTCTAAACCCATTATCTAGAATATAATTGCTTCATGCTTAAACGTAATTTTGTGGTCAAAATTCGTCTGAGCCATGATAAACTCCAATCGGACAAGAAAAGAATTCGCTTTGGAAAATAAAACTATCCAATTAGTTATTGAAAGGCCTAACGAACTAAAGGAGTACTTATCGGAAGGGCAAATTCATCTAACCGAACTGTTAGCCTAATACCAATCTTTGTCTACCAAAGAAATGGCATTACTTGTAGTCATGCCCTTGGTAGTACTGAAGGCGTCCCCCCGGCATGAATGTATGGCCGCAAGTATAGCAGCCGCACATTTCCACATCTACAGCAGTGGATAAAAAAAGTGAAGGAGCAGATGTGAAAATTTATGCAAAAGTAAGAAAAGGAATTTTAACCTTTTGATATACAACTTATCGTAATTGAACAAAAGCTCAGGACAAATGTTCATATTTTCCCGCCAAATATAGCATTTGTATAATGGGAGTGCGAAGCTTCCTGTGGGTAAAGGACAAAATTGATGCGAAAAAGAAGTGTGGTCTGGCCTTTACATTTTACCGATAGAAATAGTTGGGTGATGGCTCACTTTTGTGTAC